GAAGTGGTTTTACCCAACTAACATGGTTTTGCAAATAAAACAGGCCCCTAATTGAATAGCTACATAATATAATGAAATTCATTATTTTAGGCTTTGGACTCACGAAGTCCAAAAATAACAATCAACTATAAGTCCAATCAAAACCATTACTATGAACCACACAAATCTAATACTCCTTTATAAACATACCATAGAGCTCTAATCAAAAGATAATCGTTTCCAAAACAGCATCACATTTAGAGACTTAGAGGCCTTCGGCCTTCTAACAATACTTCCATCCAATAGCAATAATCAAAAGTGTTAATCTACAAAATTAGAGTAAATGAGCTCTATGTGACAATATATAACTAATCAACAAATAAACAAAAGAAGGTAGGTTATACAAGCTATGAAAATACTCTAAGCCTTTAAAGCCTTCCCTGAAGCACTCATACTAGAACCATCACCTGAAAATATTAAAAGCCACAGGTTAAAGTAAAAGTCTCAATAACTAGTTTTCCAACTCATATACATGGCAACATGTGCCCATTAAGCGTCAAGTGAGATAGATAATAACATAATCAAAATTTAATACTCAAAGATAAGCCAATATAATGAATGTACGCAATCTCATAACATATCCCACACTATTGGAGATTTTGAGCCAAGTAGGCCTATCCCTTACTAGAGCGATGAGAGAAATGAGAGAAACCACAAGAATCTATCTGATATTATAAGGGATGGAGAGAAGCCATATAGGCCTATCACTTGCTCGAGGGATGAAAGAGAGAACAAGCCAACCATCATGCATTAATAGAGGCCTTATCACGTGATAGGAATAGACTCAACACACTTACTAATTCCCAATCATGGGTGCCATGCTCAATAGTTCAACCAATAATCATATTTCAAATTCAAAATCCAAATCCATTTTAATCTTATAATGTGCTATTCATGTTCCCATACCTTTCAAAGATTGCATTTTCAATTCATAAGTCCTACGACACTGTTATTCTCAATATTATGTCAACAAAGTTTTCAAATATATCTAAAAGCATAAAGTAACTTTAATAAATCAATGCTACTCACAAACAACACATTGACATGTCACTACTACAAAAAAGAGCTTTCACGACGCTAATTTACGGCGGTTATTAGAAAAAACACTGTAAAAAATATGACGGTGATATTTTTGTAATTATAGGCATACTTTTAAAAGCGGTTATTTAAAAAACCACCGTTAAAAGTATTTTTTACAGCAATTTTCTTAAAAACCGCTGTTAAGAGTCTATTAGAATTTTAAAATCCATCGCGCGATAGTTTTCACTTTTCAGAGTCAGAGCTCATAGTCCGCCATTACTGTCCTTACTCAATTTTCTCCCTCTTCCTACCTTTGTCAGTGTTTATCCTTTGCTTCTATCATCTCCGTCATGTTCTTCCATCACTATCACTGTTGTTGTTGCCGTCGCCATCGCCTCATCCTCTTCATTCTTATTTGTGAGTTTTTCACCTCTATTCTTTCGGTAGATTTCATAGTTTTTGTGGTTTGATATAATTATTTTCTTTGGTTAAAAATATGATGTTTAATCTGAGTTGAGAGATATCTTCTTTTTATCATATCTAAGTCTATGATTTTATCAGATCTGAGTCTTTGATTTTATCTTTATTTAATCTTAGTGGCTTCGACCTGGTGGTTGAAGGTGAAGCTACATGGCGCTATTATGGCAGGAAAGAATCTACGTTTGCTCCTTCAAAATGCTTTTAACTGATGAGAGATTATTGGTTAATTGATTTTCAAACCCCTTCCTTTGAGGTGTTGTTCTCCTGTTCCATCCTAATTAATAGGGTGAAACGTAGACTAAAAAAAAATTTTCATGGCAGTTATTTATATAACTGCTGTGAAAAGTCACATACCACGGTGGTTTTTAAACTGCCGTGAAATCCTCTACATTTTATGTTGATGGCATAGACGTTGCTCTTAAAACCGCCGTAAAAAGCTCATTTTAACCGCCGTTAAATGTTTTTTTTGTAGTAGTGTGTATAACAAGTGAAAAGTGGTTATCTCTCGTCAAAGTAAAGATAAAGTACCACAAGGAACCCCATGCTTGAACGCAACAATTACAAACGGTTTACACAAACAATTAATCACAATTAGCACTTAACCAAGTGGTTAATCAAAGCAAAGTAGGGACTTCAACTCCTCTATAAACCCCAAAACTCACTAAGGGTCAAACTCAATCAACCCAACACTAAATTTTACTTCCAATGACTCTAATTAAATCATCCAAAACTTTTATCAATTTCAATATACCATTCAATCGAAAACCCCACATTCCACACTTAGTCTCCAATCTCAAAATACCCATTTAAGAAAATCAAGCTCTAAAAATAATCTAAACTAATTAAAAATAAATTCTAACTCACACCATCATAACCCAATAACCAAAACCCATTTCTAAACCTCACATTATCATCTGCTATCATGAACCTTTAAAAATCACAAACCTAGCTCCAAAATCCTCAAAAGTCAATCCAAAACCAAACTAATTAAATACTTTCATACAAGTCATTTTAACTCAAAATGTTTAGTCAAAACCTAGCCCATTCAAAAACATGGAAGAATTTCCTAGATCTCAACTACTAGAAAATCTAAAAATCAAAGAGAAAAGAGTAGAAACAAAGCTAGAAACACTTATTTGAAGGTTTGGAAGCCAAAAAATCCTCCTACGACTTAAAAATTGTAACCCTAGAAAAGAAAAATCATCCCCATTTGAAAACCTATATTTTTTGTTGTTCACCACGGCAAACTTCAATTTTCACTCTAACAAAGAACTTCACAGGGGCAAAAATTTGAATTTTGTACTTTTGTTGTGACCAGCTACATAGCATAAGTGACCCAACTTCAAAAAATCATAATTAAGTTCTTACATCTCCAAAAATTACAAATTAGGACTTTTTGGAAAGCTTGAGATGTCTCATTCTCAATGCAAAAAGAATAATTCACAAATATCATCATTTGGTCCTTGAAAATGATGATTATCCAAAACTGTTTAAAAGTTTACAGGTAACAAGGTGGCCCAACTTCAAAAATTCACGATTAATTCTATACATTTTCACAATTTGTAAATTAGAATTCATTGGGGAGTTAAAGTGTCTATTTTTAAATACAAAAAGAATTGTTAAAAAATAATAATTTTTTACTCTTTAAAATCTTTAGATTCTAAAACTACTTTGAAAAATCTAAAAGAGATGGCTTCCAATCAAAATCCTTATATTGCTATGCCTCAGTTAACCTCTATCCACAGCGTTCACTTTTATATTTAATGTTAAAGAACCTCGCCCTGGCATAAAAGTCTCCAAACTTCAAGATTAAAAACTCGGGATGTTACACAGTTGATGACAAGGCTATGTGGCGTTCATCAGCAGGTTCCACATGAAATTTCAAAATTATAAAAATAATAATAAACTAGTGACAAATTAGTGATGGAAGAAATCTCTAATAGCGAAAAGGAAAAAAAAAAGCTCGCTCATCTCTTCTCTACTAGCTAAATACTTTAGGAGAATCAACTTGTCCTCATGTTGAAAAAAGGAAAATTGAGCTACCCAATATTAGCGACAAAAATTTACATTAGCCACAAAATTCAGCAGAGACAAAAATTTCATTAATGCATAAGGGTCAAGATCTCGCTAAAATAATTTGTGAATGGAACGTTGTCTCCAACATGTCTAACTAGTACTAAACCCATTAAATAACTAATTGGTGAATCTGGCTACTACATTGATAAGGACGAACCAACAATCTAATTCTTATTTATTAATTATTCTTTCCTATAACTTTTTGCAGCCAATTATACCATGTCAATACGGCAATACCACTATTGGCGGATGGGATTTTGGCCGCTATCCCAATCATATATAATTTTGAAACAATGGACGGAACCATGCGTTACTAAGGATGACAACAATTGTGCATGGATTCAGGAATAAAGGTGAACAAGAAAAAAAGACAATTTAATATAAGCATAGCATATTCTTTAATTATTTACAACTATAAGAATAGCTTATTGGTGTGTGATTGAAATGACCTGAGATCAACTTTAGTATCACATGCTTTGATGTGATGTGATTTACGATATCAAAGTGAGGAGAAGAGCGGATGATTAAGAAATAGAATTAATCCTACCTGGCTAGACAAAACTTAGTGATGCGGATAGTGGGAAAGCTAACTTTTCCTTTAGTATAATTAATTATAAATGTAATTATGATTCCCTTCGGAACATGTGAGATGGCTTTACAGCGTTCTTAATTGTAAAGTTTTTGTAAAGTTTGCAGGGAGAAAGGAAAGAAAATATTGAGAGTATGCTTCAACTGACCCAAAAAAACAAAAAGATTAAATGCATGGTGTTAATAAAAAATAAAAGGTATTGAGAGTCTGAATTCGCGATTTAGTGCCCATCTCAAAATTAAACACGTCTCCCTCAAGAAATGCACATAGTGCACAAACTTTCTACCTAACATTTCTGAAGATGGAGGGGAGCATGCTTCTCCTCCTTATGCTCTATTATCATCAAATCAAAGTATAAGTAGTAAAAAATTGAAAGTAATTTCGATACACTTATATGCAATTTGTGTTGCTCTCTTTAGGAACTTTACAGGCTTAGAGTTTTGTGTTAAAACTCCAGAGAATCAATATCAATATACCTAGTAAAACTAGAATTTCTTTTTAAAATTAAAAGCAATTAATCATAGGAGTGTGAAAAATTAAAAAGTTGAGCCAGATGTATCTAAAAGAAGAAGTAACTGTGAGATATTAAAATAAAAAACAATAAATAGCACAATACGATTTTTTAAAAAAAAAAATTAGTGTATTTTCTAACAGAATATGGCATGATAAGACATTAAGAATACTGATAAAAAGTAATGAATGGCGTGTGTACGTGGATATATATTAAGATTCCTTTGAGGAACATTAATATAAATAATTTAAGTTATACCGCAGTTAGATTGGGCGAGAGGAGAGGAAAAAAAGAGAGGTATAAAAGAGGCGTGGGTGGGAGAAAAATGAGAAGGTAAGCGAGATAGCTGGAAGACTGAGGGCAGAGGCATCTTCCTCGAAGCTAGTTCAAACTAGTGGGAGGTTGTGTGCTGAAAGTGAAGATCAACGCACACAAAAAAGACTTTTTCTTTTGTTTGTTTGTTTTTTTAATTTTCTGAGTGATCGATATATATCATCATCATCAGAAAATGGTTCGTGGAAAGGTTCAGATGAAGAGGATTGAGAACCCGGTGCACAGGCAAGTGACCTTTTGCAAGCGCCGAGCAGGGCTTCTGAAGAAGGCTAAGGAGCTTTCTGTGCTTTGCGATGCTGAAATTGGCCTCCTCATTTTCTCCGCCCACGGGAAGCTCTACGAATTAGCCACCAAAGGGTCTCTCTCTCTCTCTCTCTCTATATATATATATATAACTACATATGTCTGCCAATTTCTCTGAGTTTCTGTTCGGACATATGTCCTCACGAGAAAAAAGAGATATACAAAACAAAGTATTGAAAGAATCTATTTTTGTTGAGCTTATATTGTTCATCGCATGTATATAATTACATGTGCACATGCGTATATTTTCCAAAGTTTTTCTGTTGTGATAATATATATATACTGCTGTCTTTAAACTAAATTAAATTTTCTCTTTCATTCTGATTTCTGGATTTTGTTTGCGAAATTAAAGAACCATGCAAGGGCTGTTGGAGAGGTACATGAAGTTCACTCGTGGGGCTCAGCTCGAACCTGAACCGGCCATCAATGAATCACATCCTCAGGCACGCTAAATCTCTCTCTCCCAGTCTCTCTATACACACAGATATATATATATATATATATATGGAGGCACACATCTATACGTTTACATGTATCTATATGTCTATCTGTCTATGTGTTTGTGTGCTTACATAGCTACGGCAAACATCATAGGAAGGATCAAACACGCAAATGAAAAGTAAAGAAAGGATGGAAGGATCAAATATCAACCTGTAATAATTGTTTCCAAGAAAAACGGGTTTTTAATGGCTATTAACTAGTATGATATCTTAAAGAAACAAGGATCAGATTCTTGGCTGTGTTGTCTAGCTATTGAATAGTAATTATTTGTCAGTGAGATATGACTAATCAAAAAGATTAAAAGCATGTATTCGCCCAAAAATTTAAAATTCATGAAACGTCTATGGCTTGATAGATTCCCCATATATATATATATATATATATATATATATATATATATGGACAAACACAATCAAGTTAATTCTTTTATATATGAGTAACATGTTTTTGCACTACTTAATTAATATGCTTTGTTAGATTCCACTTCGTGTGTAAATTAAATATATGATAATGGAACGCTTTATTAGATTCCCCTAATTTATTTTCTTTTCATCTCTTGTATATTTGTAAAATATGAACCCATACATCGTCATAGTACTGCAGAAAGCTTTTTGCTGGAGAAATACTAGAACCTGATCCATTACATGGAATAACAACAATAAATAGCATAATTAATGCTTCGAAATAGCGTGACTTGTATAACTTTTCGAATGTTTTTATATTGAATATTGATATTATTAATTAGACAAGATTTTTTAGAGAGAAAATCAAAATAAAATATCCAAATGCTATGCTTAGAGGTGAAAATAGGTCAAATTTTAGCTACACAAGTCAGGACTATCATAAGATGAAACCTTAAATTGACCTAATAACTTACGTGAGACTTTTTTCCCCCTTCTTTTTAAGGTTTAAACTCGAGCCTTTTTGAAAAATATAGCTTCACTAGAAAGCATATTTTAAAAAATAGGATTTCAATTAGGCTTAAAGATATGCCTTGAAGACTTCAAATAAACTTATATCATTAAACCTAATTCACTTTGTCAATTAAAAAGGAAAAAAATTACATATATATATAGCATTATTAGTACATAAAATACTGCAATACCTTTGAGTAATTTAATCTAGCGTGAATCACACATATAAAAATTGTTATGTTAGTATAGCTGGGAAGTTGATAAGAGATTAAATTGTTTGTAATCCAATTGTTTAAAGAGGACATGGGGCCAAGCAAGCTAAGATTAATAAAATACTAAACTAATGATGACAATATTATCTATGGAATACTAAATAAAAATTTTAACTGATGCAGTTTGAGAGGGGAGATTGCAATCGTTCTAGGACAATTAATAATTTGCGAAACTTTTACAAAATGGACAAAATATTATTTCATATTTAAGACCTTTTAAGAAATATTATTTTATTAAGAACAAGTATTATACTAAGTTCACATATATAAAGACATGTGTTATAAAAACAATATTTTAATAATCGAAATTTTTTAATGAGGTATTGATAATAAAGAACTTCATTTTTCTAGATTTGTAATTAATTAATCTTGCATTTTTACTTGTATTATATGGAGTTTTATAGTAGCATCCATTTTTGTTTTACTTTTTTTTTATGCAAATATATTGTCATAAGACTATATATTGTTATATATAGTCTTCACATGTTTCAAAACTTATTCCTTTGCAGGATGCGAAAGAGGAGATCGATGTGCTGAAACAAGAAATTGGAACCCTGCAAAAGGGTCTCAGGTAAATTATATAATTTAGCTAATGATATTATATCTATGATATTTTATTCAAGTTCTTTCAATTTTTGCAAAATTATTTCTTCGGTCCTTAGTCAGAGTTTGAATTGGGTGCTGATTGCAATATCCACGACGAAATCATGTGCGTGTTTAGTGCCCAAACGGTTTAAATTAAAAATATATTTTTCACACAAAATATGATATAGGAGACAAAAAATCATGATTTTCAATTTTCTTGTGTTAAATACATATGTGTGTGTAGTTACTGATGATTCTATGAATTTTTTTGAATTATTAAGTTCTTATTTATTCTAATAATAGATAAAAATTATATTTACTGAAAAATTATTTTACATCAGTAAAGGTATCTTTGATGTTAGAGAAGATTATCTGACAGTTGCACGTTCAAATGCTAAAAGTAATATTATTTTATTAAAAACATGCATTAGAAGTTGATTATCTTATGTTCATCATACACAGAAAAGTAGCTTATTACATAGTATGCTTTAATTTTATGCTCCACTAAAATATGAATGCGTTAAAATTGCATTACAAGTAGTTACTTGTTTGGAGGGGGAATCGGAACAATGACGGTGGAGGAATTACAAGTGTTGGAGAAGTACCTCGAAATGTGGATTTATCAGATTCGTTCAATGAAGGTGATAGCAAAATGCAATCTTTTTATTTCTTCACGAAAAAGAAAATGAAAAGAAATAAAATAAAACCAATCGCTCGCTTCACATATTTATGTTCTGATTTATTTTTTTGAAGAAATGTTGACTATGTTTTTGCTTGTGATTTGCAGATGAATAACATGTTACGTGAAATTCAGACATTGAGGGACAAGGTTAGAATGAAACTGTGTAATACTTTTTATTTTTTTTATTTACATTAATTATTTTAGTCTGTTAATAATAACTTTACCATGATTAATAAATTTTTTGATTGAATTGAATTGAATTTCTTAAATTGGTTCCTCAAAATTATCTCTGAATAGACCAATGAGTATAACATTATAAATATGTCTGAATCAAATTACTCGAAACAATAATATATATGCATCCTATACCAAATTAATGACATCTTTCTTAAGATTAGTAAGTATTTGTTTAAAAACAACACCCATTTATTAGAAATAACTAATTTAACTGATGTTTTAAATATTTTTAAATTAGTTATCTAGTTTTTATATTAAGAACCAAAGGTAGTATATATATAGTAAAAATATCTTCTATAGACTTATATATTTTATAATATGTAGATAAATAAATTATATATTTCAGATTTTTCATGCTACCTATAGTCCTAATTATAAGACCTCGTTTGTACTATATAAATAAGGTCTTATAATTAGAATTAGGGGGTAGTATGTAGGATGCATGCTATCAAACCTATCTTATAATTTTCGGATAAGCTGTATATCATCCAGAGTTGTCAAAGAAAGTCCCCCCCCCCCCGGGGATATATTGTCAAAGAAAGTTTTAAGGATACTCCATCAAGAGAATGGCATAATTTTATATTTTTGTTGTATTATTGTAAATAATTCGCATGGATCCATGCATTACACATCATTTCAAAAGTGAGTGGCTTTGAACGCGACTGATAATTAGTGAGACTTGATAGAATGCTTATATATATAACATTTGAAATTCATTATATGAAAGAAAGGTATGTGAATTGTATTTGACTTTATTTTCATATCATCATTGACGCTCTTTAATGGCTTTTGGTGTTTGAAGGAGGGAATACTCAAAGCTGCAAATAAGTATCTCCAGGATAAGGTAATGAAATGTTTCCATTTTTAAATATTTCTTTTCTTTTTGAGAAAGAAAACACATAATAATGTATTTTGTAAATTAAAATATATTAATCTAATGCAAGCCATCTCTTTTTTAAATTGCTTAATTTCAGATTGCGGAGAATGCTGGAATTACTAACTTCGGACCGTTGGCTCTTGATACTTACCCTTTGATGATACAAGATGAAATATTTCAGTTTTAGGAAATGACTTCATTTTGTAACATTGATATAAGTTCTAGTTAGTAATCAAAATAAGGGTTATGTGGTGTGTTGTTCGCATAACAGCATACTTCAACTACTGTAGCATGAATAACGTACCTGTCAAGTGTTGCCGCTTCATGATCTCACATGTTGCTTAACATTCAATGTCGTGCTTTATATGTATTAGTATTGCTGTACTTTTCTAATTAACAATTAGTAAAAGGGAAGCAAGAGATTATTGCCTTGTTTGTTTTCTTATTTTGAAAACAGATTTTCATTTTTAAGAACCAAAAAGAATTTGCTTGGTAACTTATTTTTATTTAAGTGTTTCTAAAACATAAAAACATAAATCTATTTTTAAAAATTAAAAAAATAAAACTATTTTTAATTGCTCTTTTTTGGTTTCTACATTTCTTATGTTTTATTTGAAAAAACTGAGAAACTCTTTATTCTTCGCTCGATAGCTTTTTTCCATTTGAAGACTTGAATTCTCATAGAAGATTTACCCTCCAATCTTGGGATATTTATGTTCAAATGTAATATTTTAGAACACTTATCTAAACATACTTTTTCGTTTTTGGTTTCTAAAATTTTTTTTATAAAATTGTTTTAAAAAAACAAAAAATAGAAACAAACGTGCCCTATAGTTTGAATAGTATAGCCGAAAGAATCGTTCTCATCCTACAAGGTTGCCAATTACATATATTAAATGTCCTATGGACAATTTTTTCTAAATTCTTATTTGTGTTTGTGTTAGCCATAACATCTAAATTCTTTAAAACTTTAGCTGATCTTTCAATTCTCTTGTAGTGCTATGCATATCCTATTAGCGGCAAAACCTGCAAATACCTAATTAATCCGGGTCATGTCTAAGGACACTATTCTTAAGTTATTCTATAACTACTAGCAAAGCAAGAAATGACGGCAAGAATGAGGTAAATAGAGCAACAGAAGATAATAGAACTCATAAAAGCAGAACATTAAGGAAGAAAGATAATTGCCCAAAAACTCAGAGTAGAGCATGGGATGCTATGAACTTCGGTCTCTTGTGTAGCCTCCTAAATTTTCTTTCAGGAATTAAGTAATATGAACAAAGAATTGCTTAATGATAAAGAGAATTTATATTAATTAGGAACAAGAATTTATTCAGAGTGCTACTTATAAGAATAAAAGAAAGGGAAAATTTCGATTAAGGACCGCAGATGGGAATTAATTTCAAATAGCCCTAAAAAAATTCTGAAATATCACCGCAAGGCCAAAGGATCAAACTGAAATTAAAATTAGGAGTAAGATTACAATAATACCCCCTCATTTTTATTTTTTTAAAAATAAATATTAATAGTTGCTGGAGTTCCAACCACCGAAGGTCGGAGGTTCGGCCACTAGTGCTCAAGTGGTTGCAGCCAAAGGTTGGAGCTCCACTGGCCTAAATTTTCTTCTTTTTTTTTTTAAATAAGGTGGCCAAGGGAAGGTTTAAACCCATGACCCCTTGGCACACTAAAGGTGTTGTGACCATCAAGCCAAGCAAACCACTTAATCATATATGCAAATAAAAATATATATAACAAAGCAAACACAAGTGTCCAAGTGTAAGTGAACAAGTGAAATTTGACAATTTATAAGTGAAATTTAGCAATTTACAACAAAAATTTGGCAATTTACAAATAACATAATGGAATTTACAACCCCAAATGCAAGTGTTTATGATAGCATGCCAAGAAGTGTCCAATATGGAGGTCTTGAAGCCCAAGAAATACTCATCCAGTTAGAGGCCCAACCAACCCTCCAACGTGTTCAAAGGATTTATAGCTTTAGAATGCTTACATGGAGGATGATATGGATCATTGCTTGGATAATGACATGGACACATGCGGAGCTTGACGTGACATATGGAAGGCCACCCCGAAAGCCACCATGGCATGTGAGTTATTAGAGTGTAAACACTTGGACCTTAAGAAAAAACAAGAGTGCGTTCTAAGAGCCCAAAAAGAGATTTAAAGCCAATTCCTATGTAATTAAAGGCCTAACACAATTATATGTACCTGGAGGAGTCCATTAGAGCTATAATCTTTTAAATTAGGGTCCAAATGCATTGTGTTATGGACCATAGGAGTTCCAGAACGTGATTCAACCATATTCAAGCCCAAATGGGTGTCTAAAAGGCCCATACATGCTTATGGACGTGAATAGCAGTTATGAAGACCTATTTGGAAGGTCCAAGAAGATTCAAGAAGCATCAAGAGTGATCTTATATGATATTAAATAGGATTCTATTTGTTTTAATTAGTTTCCTATTTTATAGTTTCCTATTTTGTATTGATTGCTTCTTGAAGGCAAAGATTTACTTATTTTGTATTGCATTAATGAGTAGAGAGTCAAATAATATCCTTCTCATTAATGAAGGGATCCTACTAAGTAGTGTGTGATCTAGATTATTCTATCTTGACTAGCAAGTTAGAGTACTCTAGAAAGTCTTTTGATTTTCCTAATTTTGTTGTATTTTCGAATCTATTTTTGATGCATTTTATGTACTTAGTGTTTTAGGCTCTAAAAACTTATATTGGGCTTTTAGAGCTTAGGTTATCAATTAGGGTTTTCATTTTAGGGTTTTCAAGAGTTTTAGTCTATAAATAATTCAATATGTACTCTTTTCAGAGGAGATGATTTTGAATAATTAATAAAATGAGAATTTTATTTCTCTTTGTGTGAGCCTTGCTTGCATCCTCGTATTCTCGTGAGAATACTCGACAGTATCAAGGAAGTGATCAACCTTGTGGTGTCTTCATGGCTAGGGTTGTAAGAGACAGGTTTTCTTAAGGTCCTACCTAGATCAACCGTCCGTTCGTTACTTGATTCTAGCCGGTCCGTTCATTCCTCTCATATCAGTTTAAGTGTAAGTGAACAAGTAAAATTTGACAATTTACAAGTAAAATTTAGCAATTTACAACAAAAATTTGACAATTTACAAATAACATAATGGAATTCACAACCCCAAATTAAGTGTTTAAGTGTAAATGAGTAAAATTTTTGTTATTGGGGTTGTGAATTCCATTATGTTATTTGTAAATTACCAAATTTTTGTTGTAAATTGCTGAATTTTACTTGTAAATTGTCCAATTTCATTAGTTCACTTACACTTGGATACTTACATTTGCTTTGTTATATATATTTTTACTTGCATCACATGACTAAGTGGTTTGCTTGGCTTGGTGGTTATGACACTTTTAGTGTGCCAAGAGGTTATGGTTTCAAACCTTCCCTTGGCTACCTTATTAAAAAAACAAAAAAACTTTAGGCCACCGAAGCCACAGTAGAGGCCACAACCTCTGGTGGCTGGAACTTCGGCAACCAGTGATATTTATTTTTTAAAAAATAATAATAAGGGGTATTATTATAATCTTACTTCTAATTTTAATTTCAGTTTGGTCCTTTGGTCTTGCAGTGATATTTCAGAATATTTTGGGGGCTGTTTGAAATTAATTCCCATCTGTGGTCCTTAATCAAAATTTTCTCTAAAAGAAATTGCAAAAAAGTATTATTAAATTAAAAAGAAAAGATTAAATTAAAATAATAATTAAGAATAAAAAATATCAATAATAATGAAAAAGCTAAAGGCCACGCGACCTTTTAACTATCAGATGGGTGAGGGATTTGATAAACATATATAAATATATAAATAAAATCATATATATATGGATGTATGTATACAACTGAAGTACTGAATCCTCGCACACATGCGTGGGTATTAAACAAGTAAGGAGTTTGAAGTAAATATTGAGTTTTAACAAGAAATGACCATAGGATTGTAGAGCTAAATTAATAGAGAGTTTCTATCCTTTTATTTTTGTTTATTGGCTGCTCAAAGTTTTTAAAATAATTATTTTAGTTGAGAGGCATATTATTTGTGAGAAATATAATACTTATAATATGAAATCTTAGATTAAATGATTTATTAATCCATATGTGAGGTATTGTTGAATTTTTTGTGGGCTTTTTTTAAAAATTTAAATAAGATTTTAGAATTTTTAAAAATAATAATTTCATATTTGAGGATCTTGGAAATTTCTGAGTAAATAATTTGGTGGATTTAAATGAGTAGTTTTGATTTTTAGAAGATTACAATTTAGTGTTAGGAGAAGTAATAATGGGTTATGAGATATTTGGTATTTAGAAATTGTCACTAACATATATCAATAATAAAATTGTATATATATATTTTTTGGTTATTAATTACAAGACAAAAGGATAAATGCACCTAAGACCTAAAATCTAAAACTTACATAAGTAAACATAGATAAAAAAACCTATACAGTCTAAAACTAGCAAACTAGTGCCTATATTAGTGCCCAAAGAGCCTTGGATAATCTTCTGCAAATTTCGGTCATGAGAGCATATTAAGAGGCTGAAATTAGAGGCAGCTTGAATTTGTGTTTGATTGATGATGAATAACAGTACTTGGCGAAGCAGGGAGAAAATGATGAACCACTTTGTAGCTCCTTTTCTTACTTGAACTTGAAAATGCCTGAAAAGATAACCCTTAAAGGACAAAATAATAGAAAATAACTTCTTACCATGAAACCACTTCCTCTTCCAGTTGGATAGAACAATTGACCAATCTGCAGCTTTATCAACCAAATTAGAAGAAGAAGCAAGCATAATTACATTATATGAATTGCACTGCTTAATTAAAGATAGCATATTCTTTTGATAATTGATTTCCAACTTAATTCTATTAACTACCACTGAGGGGTGAGGCTTAAAATGATCATTTAGCTTCTTATTCCTGAAAAACCATATAAAATAGAGAGTCCAACATATTAATTGGCTATCTTCAAGCATAGCATTGCATAAAGAGTCCATAAACCGGGCTTTAATACCAATTCCTGGAATTGAGTGAGAGTAGAAGCCCAATGGAGAAGAGAACCAAATTGCCCGAGCCTAAGGACAATGAAAAAACAAATGAGATCTATCTTCAACCTCGTTTTTACAAAAGAGACAAGAGGTATCACTATCCATTGGAAGATGATGGCACTGTAAAGTTTCTCTGAGAGGGAGAGCATTTAATAAGAAGTGCCATAAGAACAAACTGACTCTTGGCAGTAACCTTAATCTGTTCATTTGTTTCCAAAAGAGAGAAAAATCAACATTGAAGGTAGACCTAGAAGTAGAGACGAGAAGCTTGTAACCTTCAACAACAGAATATACCCCCTGTGCATTTCCACTCCCAATAATAGAATTAGGTCTA